TCATGTCGATACAATCTTCCAGTCTGTTGCTGAATGGGCTATTCAGAAAGATCACGAGAGACATTCAAAGTGCAGACCAGGACAGTCTGTCAGATTGCCACTGTCTGACCTCAATCCATCTCACATCCAAGGAATCTTCTTGCTTTAGACACTGGATTTCTAATTTGCTCCAAACATAAACCTGTATTTTTCTTTTGCTTCCATAGAAATATTTCTTATTAACTAATCTGACTGCTTGTATAATAGAGCCTGACTTTGAGAGCCCACCTACAGGATTGCCTCCTGAAATAAGACACCTGTTTAGCCGAACTGACTACCCTCAAGACTACAGCTGGCTGCCGAGATACAGAACAGACTCCTACCTAATGTCCAGCACAGAGCAGTGAAACCTTCTGGCTCTGAGGGAAGAATGCATCGTGTCTAAATGTGGTGTCTCTCTTGATCGGAGGCGGGCCCCCAAATACGGTGTGACAATAGGGTGGAAGCTGGTGGTGCAGGAGGTGAAGGAATTCAGCTGAGGCAGAGCAAAGTTGGTAGATGTTACTGCAGCAGGGCAGTAGAGGAGAGGCCTCTGTAAGGAGGCAGCGGGTGGGGGATGTTTTTAAAGAGGGAAGGTGAGGTATGGTGACGTATGGAATTCTCACTTTTGGGGTAACAGTGCCTGGTTGTAAGTAGCACAATGGTCAGTTAGGGGCTGTAGATATTTTGAGGCAGGTCATCTGATGAGCCTGTCAATATTCAGCCAGAGGGTCTCCATGGGCCTTTTGCCTTGATGAGTTTTCATCGCCAAGGCCTATTGTCTAAAAGCAGCCTCTACACAGTATGGATCTGTAATGTTTTCTTGGTCAAAATGAAGATTTCCCAACATTCTAACCAACCCTGGGCTTATCCATGTCTTAACAGTGGGAAAATAGGAGGGATCTACTTATTAGAGAATTTAGTTATTCCTTTCTCTGTTCACAGTTCCACGGAAACCAGTCACTGAACTAACCCTCTTCAACTTTTCTTTTTTAATCAAACAAAGAGAGAATCATCACCAGATAGGGGTTAATTGCAGCAGATATTTATTTATTTATTTATTTATTTATTTATTTATTTATTTATTTATTTATTTATTTTGTTTTATTTTATTTTATTTTATTTTATTTTATTTTTATTTGAGAGAGAGCATGACGGGGGGAAAGGGGGGAGCAGAGGGAGGAGACTCTGCACTCAGCACATGAGGCTTGATCTCACAACCCTGAGATCATGACCTGAGCCAAAATTAAGAGACCCTAAACCAGCTGAGCCACGCCAGTGCCCCATGAGGACAAATTTTGATATTCATTTAGGAGAACATTTTTGCCCTGGTGGGGAATAAGGGCTCATGAATACATGATCAAGAATCTTTCTATCACCTTGGTAATGTTAGCCAATGAAACTGCTCAAGCAAAACCAGCTCCACAAAAATCATTAGACTTCTCGGCCCAGGTGATTCTGGTCTAGAGAATGGCCTTGAATTCTATTTTGGCAGAACAAGGATGGGTATGTAAGGTAATTAACTCCTCCTGCTGCATTTGCCTTCATTCATCAGCTGAGGTGTAAACCCACCTAGGCGAGATGAACAAATAAGCCACTTGCCTGCAACAGATTCCCGCTGGAACCCTAGGAGCAAAATGGAATTGGTTTCCAGTCGGCTTTCCTGGATTCCTCAAGGCATTGGATCAGTACTCTGAGAATTAACCAAAATGGGATTATCTATTTTGGCTGTTCTCTTTGTGATTTCTCTACTCATAAAACTTGGCATGAGATGCTACCCAAAGGCTGCAAAAGCAGAAACTGATTTCATGGTTGTCCAAGGTACTGAGGTAAAGGCTAGGCACCAAAGAGCACTTCTAGTTAGAGGAGCAACATTTTCATTCCTGTGACCCCAACCTTTGCCCCTATACAACAGGGAGGAGCTGAAGTGGTCCTCCTTCCTATCCCTGAAGATGGAGGAGTGGTCAAAGGCAAGGGGACCTGTAAGCAGGGGTGCAAGTCCCCACAGACCCCACAGTTTAGGCTCCTAGCTGCTTCTGACCACATCACATAGTCTTTAGTTTCTGTTTTGTTTTCTCCAAGAAACCCTTTAAAATTGCCTCAGGAAATAACATAACATTGCCTCCCAAAACATCTGGGATGCCTGAGATACCAAATGCAACATGCCATGTTTTCAAGAAAGTAATAATAATAATTTGCAGTGTAGTAATTATCATGAGATGTAGAATTTTTGCCTCTGGACACTGCAGAGATGACATCGCTAATGCCATCTGCCCAGAATGTCCTGCAGCTCCAGGCCCCTAAATGCAGAACGACCAGACCTCTGAAGCAGAACCATCCTCACTACAGTCACACAAATCCAGACCGAGGGTCACCAGAAGGGACAAGATGATAAGAAAGGAACTATTATAGCTGAGCATTGATTATGCCTGATGAATCAGCATGATCCAAGACCCTGAGGCCCTTATCCTGACTTTTCACACTTTAAAACCCTCATCTTGCAAGCAGTCAGTTGAGGCAGTTGGGACTTGAGCATTAGCTCCCATTGTTCTGGTTGACATCACGCCAATAAACAGCCTGTCCTTCTCCACTGTAAAAGCTCAGCGTCAATTTTTATTGGCTTGCTGCACATCAGGTGGCCAAGCTGTCATTTGGTTTGGTTAAATCCCCTTAAAGGGAAGGAAAGGGGAGACAACATGGTGGGGATTTTTTTTTCCCTTTCTTTTTTCCTGAGGTATAATTTAATCACAAGAAATGTCCCTCTTTTGTGGCATGTTACTCTATGACTTTTGACAAATACAGCTGTACAATCACTGTTATAATCCAGACATAGAATAGTTCCATTAGCCAAAAAGTCATCCCCTCTCCCTCTGCCCAGCCACTGGCTCTTGCTGCTCTCTTTCCTGTCCCTATAGTTTTGCCTTTTCCAGAACAACATTGAAGTGGAATAATTCTCCAAGAAGTCATTGGAGTCGGGCCTCTTTTACTTAAGTATTATATGGATCTACTTATTTGGGTTGTTTTCAGTTTTTGGAGATTATGAATGAAACTGTTATAAACACTTGCTTTCAGTTTTGTATGAACATGAGTTTTCATTTCCCTTGGGTAAATACTTACGAGTGGGGTTGTTGAGTCACAGTAAGTGTACATTTCACCCTCTAAGAAACTGCCACACTAGTTTCCAAAGCAGCTGTGGCATTTTGTATTTCTACCAACAAACTGAGTTTAGTGTTTTGAGGGTTGAATCGAGGAGGACCCAATCTCCAGGTGTGTTGGACACCTCTAACCCCAACTGGGAATGGGGTTGAGACTTTTGATATCTGAGTGGTGGGTACTGTAGCACCCCTCTAACAGTCTCTGGGGAGTCAGGACATGGAAGGGATAACTTCTGTATTGACTGAGTGTCATGTGCATACCATGCTGATGTCTGGAAGTCTAGGTGAAGGACACTATAGCAGACCTTAGCTACCACAGGACAGTCCCTTCCTATCTCTTCTTAAAGCCAAAAGTACTAAAATTCTCGTTTGATTCTAGGAGAAGGAAGGAATCCTAGAAAGTATCTTTGGGGCCACCTTTGCAGGTGGGGCTGAGCTGCATATGAATGTAGAAATAAAGAAATATGAGGCATATCCCACTTGTCATACAGCATTGTATTGAGTTCCCAGTACCTGTTTATGCCAGTGGTTACACTCAGCACTTGTACATTATTTCAAATCCTGAAAAAACAACTCAACAAATTAAGTATCTATATTAGTAAGGTATCAAATTTGGGTATCAAAATTGAAGTAAAAGATAATAATTCTGATCATGTTGCAACACTGCTTAAATGCTTTGATGACCTTCTTTGTTTAATGTCCCACCATTTCCTCACCCTCTTCCAGGGCCCAGCCAGACTCCTGTCCCCCTACTTCTGTCTTCAGTTGCTGAGCCTGGGTGCCTGAATGTGGTATTCCCTCTGCCATGCTTTCCCTGCCTCTTTCTCTATTTCACCTCCACTGTGTTTTTTAGAACCTCCTTCTTGTGTTCTCTCCCTTGACGTCTTTCCTGACTCATACAAGAGGGTCAAGAATTGCCTCCTTTGTTTCATTACTGTAGTCTGTACACCTTTGTCTCCTTAGCTGTTAGTCTGAGATTGGAGAAATTTCTTTACCTCCGTGCCTAGCACAGAGTCTAAGAGCACAGAGAGATGGTAGTTTGGGCTCAAAGCTATGAACCAGCTTTGGGCTCTCTCATAAAACAATTTCATCTTCACTTTTAAAACAAATACAAATAAAAATTCTCATAGAGCCATCAAATCTCAGATCAGAAGAAACCCTACAGGTCCTGAATACTAGTTTCCTTTTTTTTTTTTCCTCTCTTTTTTAGTGCAACCTTCAATGCAGGTCTGCATTCACATATTATGGTCCTTTATCTTCATTTTTTGTTGCTGTTGTTACCAAGCTCTGTTTATTACCTGGATTCCTTGCTTTTCTGTTATTTCATTTTGATTGTGTATCATCCATTCTGATCTATGACACTTCTTTTTCCAATTATTACTTTGATTCCCCTTTCTTTACTCATAACGATTTTATCTGCCTATATTAAGGAAATAATACTGTCTGTGAAAGACATTCATTTCTGATGCAATGTATCTGGGAAGGATATTTTCTAAGAAAAATTTAATCATATTGTGTGCATTTTTATATAGAAAGTCTCATAAATTGAAATTTGTATATACGTGAAGGGCAGGGGCAGACAGCATAATAAAATTACAATTATAAAAGCAATCTGGGGCACCTGCATGGCTCAGCAGGTTGAGCTTCTGACTCTTGATTTTGGCTCAAGTTGTGATCTCGGGGTCATGAGACTGAGCCCCAAGTCAGTTCTGAGCTGGGTGGGGAGTTTGCTTGAAATTATTTCCCTCTCCTTCTGCCCCTCCCCCATTCACATGTGCTTGTTCTCTCTTTAGAATAAATAAACAAGTCTTAAAAAAAAAAAGATACTGAGTTACAAAGGGATTGGTATTGACTTCAAGAAATGTCTTCAGGGAGGGGCAGCTGGGTGGCTCAGTCGGTGGCGCATCCAACTCAGGTCAGGATCTCAGAGTGATGAGGTCCAGCTGAGTCAGGCTCCATGCTCCTCCCTCCCAATGCTCTTCTCTCTTAAACAAACAAACAAACAAACAAACAGAAAAAAAGAAAGAAATGCCTTTAATCTGAGCAGCACAACTCTTGGGTACCACTCATAAAAACTACCATGCTATGAAATATCAATGATTTGCAAAATATCCTTCAGCTCCCTAGCATGTTTAATTTAGAAGATAGCAGTACCTTTCACTATGTATTAAATGAATGAAAAGACCTCCTTCCAGTAGCACCTGGTTGGCTCGGTTCGTTTTGTTAAACATCTGACTCTTCTTGACCTCAGCTCAGGTTTCCATCTCAGTCAGGTTCTTGAGTTCAAGCCCTGCATTGGGCTCCACAATGTGGAGCCTACTTTAAAAAAAAAAAAAACAAAAACAAAAACAAAAAAACCTCCTTTGTAAGTTAACTAAAATAGACAGTTGTGCCTTTAGGAGAGCTTCACCTGGCCCAGTGAGGGAGGAGGAAGACGCGAGCCTTGAAGTACATGCATTCCATACCACCTCCATGTACTCCTCTTGAAAGCTGGGTGTTCTAAGCTCTAATGGGCAGATCAAAGTAGTTGATAAATTTTCTTTGTGTCTTTTATAATCTTATACAAATCATGATTTTAAAGAAAATGGTAAAACAGATTATATTTTTAGTGTGTTAAATCATGTTACAACATTCTATATAATTAAAAGTAATTCCTTTTACATATTCAGTTTTTAAAAATATTTTATTTATTTATTAATGAGAGACACACACAGAGAGGGAGGCAGAGACACAGGCAGAGTGAGAAGCAGGCTCCCTGCAAGGAGCAGGATGCAGGACTCAACCTTGGGATCCCGAGATCATGCCCTGAGCCAAAGGCAGATCCTCAACTGCTCAACTGCTGAGCTACCCAGGCATCCCACATCTTCAGATTTTATCTCTATCCTTTTAGAAATGATATTTAGTGAAAATAGCCAAACATACTAATAGCACTTAGAAGTATTTTGCTTTGAAATATGGAACTGTCTCTCTTTTTATCAAATAGCTTACATTTATTAAGTGCTGGGCAAAATACTGTCTTAAGTGCCAAGGGAATATTGCTAGGAAAACAGAAATCTTATGGCAGGAGTGAGACAGGATTAAAAAAAAACATAAATAAACAAAACCCAAAATAAATATGATGTCTGTTTTATGATTGCACATAATGGTATTTGAAAAATGAGTCCTACTCCACTTCTTGTTCACCTTTCCAGGCTCAAAACCTAGGCTCCTCATAGACTTCCTATTCCGCAACTATATGTTACAGTGTCCTGAGAGTGTCTTCCTCAAGCATCTATCTCCTTGTAGGTGTCCTCTCCTGGGGTGCCTTTGCATCTCAGAAAACACTTCCTCTGGGAAGCCTTCCCGGATCCTTCACACCAGGCAGGTTAGGTGCTTGCTCCTTTGGGTTTCCAAGCACCTTCCACTTATATCTCAATTTTGTCACTTGCCACAAATTGCCTGGTAATTATTTGTTAATGTCTGTCTCCCCAGATAGATTTCATTCATTGATTCCATTTATTCATTCAACACACAGCATCTGGGAGAACAAGGACCAGTCTTGGCACTTCCTGACCTGAGGTAGCTCACAGGGAGTAAGGGAGACAGATTAGTGCCCCGACACCTACAATCCTGTGTGAAAAGCAACATAACAGAGATACCCATGGGGCATCCTGACACTATCCACAAGGGGCACTTGCCTGACCTGGAGGTTGGGAGGTTTTGGGAAAGATTCACAGATGGGGGAACACTTGATGTGAGGCTTGAAGAAAGAATGATGGTTGGCCAGTTGGGGAAGGTAGGGAATGGTACTGTAGGCAGAGGAAACGGGTGTGAGGGGTGTGCCGTGAGAAGATGACCAGGGAGCCATAAATAGATGAGCAACCCCAGAGCAGGTACGTGTAATGGCAAGGAAAGAGTGCGGGGCATGGTAGAGAAGCGCTAATACGCCATGCTGAGGAGTATGCACTTGAATGTGTGTCATGGATGCTCCTTTGGAAGGGACGTTAAGGGAGGAACGGCAAAATCAATGGGTGTTTGGGAAAGATCATTCTAGGAATGAGAGAAGGGTGGAGCGGAAGGAGGTGAGCCTGGGGCAGAAGCCCTCCCTTGAGGAGGAAACAGAAGATGAGTCTCAACCTGGAGAAGTGGCAGTGGAAGAGCAGGGAGCAAACAGATTCTGGAGTGAGTTGTTTTAGATAGAGAATAGAGAGAACACGTTTGTGGAGGAGTGGGAGGGGGAGCTCAGCTCCGGGAATGTCGACTGCCAAGCATTCAAGAAACATTGAGAAGAGCAGCCTGGTAGGCAGCAGGACTGGGACCTGGAGACCAGGAGAGAGGGCTGGGCTGGGGATAGAGACCTGCAAGGTCAGAGCTGAAGCGGGATTTCCTGGGAACACATGTCAAATGTGAAGAAAAAGGATAACTGCTGGGGGGCGTCAGTAAGAACAGGTGCAGAGAGAGATCCTGAGAAGAGAGTGATGAGGAGGCAGTGTGGACGAACACCGGGACAGAGGGGAATGTCCCAGAAATCAGGGAAGCAGAGTCCAGAAAGGGGACAAGTGGTCAAGAGTGCCAATAGCTACAGCAGGGGTCAGGTTAAGTCAGACCCGAGAGGTTCCCAGTGCGTTTGACAACCAGCTGCTCAAAAGTGATCATGGCCCAAGCAGTTACATCCTCTGGAAATGGGGACAGAAGTCCCACACGAGGGTAAAGGCATGGATGGGGAAGACACAGGACTAGCAGGCAGGTGCTACCCTCTCTCTAGAAGCTGGACTGTGAGGGGAAACGGAACAGGGGAACACGAGGCTGAGAGACTCTGAAGACACAGAGTGCCTAGCACAGTGCCTGGCCCACCAAGGCACTCAAATGTGTATTTATTGAATAACAAGCTGAAACGAGAAATTGCTAAATAACTGAATAGCACACCAGGGAAGACTTCCTGTGTCTGACGTACTCCATTACTCATTTATTTTCACAAGAGATGACATAGAGGATAAAAGCAGAGAAGGGAGAAGCAGGAGTCCTGAAAGGATAGTGGGAGCATTCATGCCATCATCCATGTGGGGTGAGGCCCACATGCAGGGAACATGGGTGTGTGCCCCAGAGAGCGGGCAGCTTGCAAGGAGGAGCTCACTGCTGAGAAAGTGGATGTAGAGTCAGATACAATACACGGGAAAGCAGGTGATGATGATGATGATGATGATGATGATGATGATGATGAGAATGCCACTGTAATGTCGATGCTTTGGGGAAAGTGAGAAAACTCATCTATCCTTCCATCCTATCGATGACCCATCTACTAAAACAATGCAAGTCAATGCTCAGCAGCGTTCTTCTGTCCTATACTTCCCAGTGAGTAAAGTCTCTTTTTGGAGGTGTGTAAATTTGAAAAGGTGGGAAAGTAGGTTGAAGAGGTGGGAAAGTAGGAAATATTTAGAGCAGGACTAGCGAGTGTGGTTCACTGGGCGGAAATAGACCTGTATTTGGATGGTTTTCACAGAAAAGCTAGAATAATCGTACCCTCTCCCAAAGAGTTGCTGTGAACATTGTAGGTGAAAGACATTTGAGATGATTAAGGGTGAGCTGTTGTAATCATCACCCCCCAGTCGCTACAAAGGCCTTTCTGCGTAGTAAGGTACCTTGCTAGCTTGCACCCCTTGTTTCTGCTCCTCCTTCATCTTACCCGCTCTGCTTGGGCTGGTTTTCTTACTAGAGGATAGAATGAGTGCAAAGTGCCTGACATAGCACCGGGAACAGGCAACAGGGGCGTGTGTGTCAGCGAATGTTCCTGGCTAACCCTGACCCCTCCTCCCCCCAATCTCCTTCTCTTCCTGCAGCCTGTCTTTGGCCTGTGAGTGAACCCAGGGTCATTCTTGTTTTGCCATGAGCTTTCTGAAATGGCTTTTCAGGGGACTCTTGAGCCTGATTTACAACCTTTCCCTTCTAGGCACGTCTCAACTTGCCTAACGTCGGGGCCTGACCTGAACCTGATAAAGCTGAGCCTGCGAAATGCCCCGCAGAGCCAGCCAAGTCTGCGAAATCCTGCAGGGCATGGTGTCCGCCGAGATTCTCCGGTCCGCAGCGGCCGGGAGTCTGTGTCTCCGTGAGAGAGCAGAGACTCGGCAATCAAATCTGCCCTTTATCCAGTTCCCAGAAGCCCGGCCTTTTAAACACGACCTTTGAGTTCACGCAGCAGCAGAAACCCAGGAGGGCAGCCAGCGGTCGGGGGTAGGTGGAGAAGGGCTTTGAGGGCTGGCCGCGAGGAGAGAGGGTGTTGGGCTGGACTCGAGGGGCTCCAGGAGGTGCCGGGAACCGGCCCGCAAGTCCAGGGCCGCGTGGGCCAGCTGGGCGCGGCCATTCCCGGCCCATCACCAGGTGACTGCACGTGCGCGCACCTGGCAACCCCCACCGGGCATTAGCCTACAGACGCCCCCCGCCGGCGAGGTCCCCCGGCGCCCGCGGGCCGACGGCAGCGCCTGGCTTGGGGGAGGAGCAGCCTCCCCCGTAGGTGCGCGGGCCCCGAGGGCGGCCCGGCCCCGAGCCCTGCGCGGCTTTCGCCGGCGGAGCGGGAGCCGGCTGTAGGCGGCTCCTTCCTGTGCAAACTTTTCTGTCCTCTTCCTCCTCCCGCCCTCCCGCCCTCCCGCCGGCTTCTCGGCGACGGCGTCCAGCCTCCCCGCCCTCGGCGCGGCCCTCGGCGCCCGCCCCACCCGCGCTCCGGGCCGGCCGCCGCGGGGAGCCGATGGCCGAGGCGGGCAGGCGCTCCGCGGAGCCCCCGGGCGGCCCGGCCCCGCCGGCAGCGGCCGACGCCCCCGAGCCGCGGGAGCCCGCCGCGCCGCCCGCCCTGCGCAGGCTGCCCGGGGAGCCGAGCCCCCGCGGCCGCTCCCAGAGCGACCTCTCGGCGTGCTCCAGCCGGGGCCGCCCGCTCCGGGTGCGCATCTCCGGCTCAGGTAA